GGGAGAGGGGCGGCTGCGAAGGGAGAGCAAAGGCCCTGAGATGAGAGGGGGCGGCTGTGAGGGGACAGCGAGGCCCTGCGGGGGGCGACGGGGGAGCCTTTCTCCCGGTTCCTCCGAGGGCGGCCGTGAGGGAAGAGTGTGCCTTCCCCAGGGCGGGCGGCAGGCCGTTCTCCCCGGCTGCTGCTGACCTCCCTGCCTCCGCCCTGCGGGGCGCGAAGCGATGTTACTGAGCGGGGGAGAACCGCAGAAGCAAGGGCAGAGGGTTGTGTAGAGTCCGGAGGCCGCCCCAGGGATTCCAGATGTGGATTGAACTGAAATGAGATGCCTTTTAACGTAGTAATCATCTATCGAGATTTTAGTGTGTAAAGATGGGCACGTATACTTTTTTCTTTAGATTGAGGATGAAACTCAAGTCTCTCGAGCAACCCAGGGTGAACAAGATAACTATGAGATGCATGTCAGAGCTGCAAACATTGTGAGTAGCACTCTGCTGTTCAAATCAGTGGGCAGCACATCCTTCAGGTACTGTTGGGTCCGTTATTGCATCTAGGGCAGCCTTTTTAACGCTCAGAAGGACTGCTGCTAGAAGAGTAAGTAACCTGATATTTGGGAAAGCTGGGTAGCCTGGCTTGTCAGCTACAGGCTTCTATCAGAACCCTCACATAATGTGGGAGTGTTTACTTTATTCAAAGCTTGGGCTGAAGGAGCAGCTTGGGAGATCTTGTTTTAGAATTTGAGCAAAGCACTATTTTACTATACTATGTGCTATGTGATTTTTCTCCCTGCTACAAGGTCCGAGCTGGTGAGTCCCTGATGAAACTTGTGTCTGACCTGAAGCAGTTCTTGATCCTCAATGATTTCCCCTCTGTGAATGAAGCTATCAACCAGCGCAACCAGCAGCTGAGAAGCTTGCAGGAGGAGTGTGACAAGAAGTTGATTGCACTACGGGATGAGATCTCCATTGACCTGTACGAGCTAGAAGAAGAATATTACTCTTCCAGGTACAAATAGGGCAGTGGACTTCTGCCTTATGACTCCAGCCCTTTTGGGGTAGTTGGTCTAGACAAAAAAGTAGTCCATAGAGTATAGGTCTGGAGAATGTCCCAAGCAAAATTTCACTCCTGTTTTTAATTAGGTCAAACTCTTTTTCTGCAACTAAAGCAACTGCCATTCCCTTGTAGATACCCTACAGGGTATAAATGTCATGGTGAAGGAGGTATTGACAGCATCCAGCTCTAGGTTCCTGCTTTAGTTGGCTAGATTTGACAGATAATTTGCTTAGGCTTCTTTTGTAATCATTGTAAAAGGAGATGAATTTCCTTGGGGGTATAGGCTTCTGTCTGAGTATCCCTCTGGAGGAGCCTCTGTCTCTACCCCTAAAGAGACTAGCTTGCTGAGCTGGGTCCTAATTTTAGATGAGGTCACCACGTCTTCATGGTGAGTTCTTTCACAAGTGACCTGGTTACAGAGTGTGCCTTTTCCCTTGTAGTCCACTGCCCCCAGCTGCCTGGAGTCCGGTTGGGGTGAACGTTTTGAAATGAGCAAAAAAGACTTGCTCAGTTTCATTGAATTATGACATATTGTGATAGGATTTTCTATGGAGTAATGACTTATTACTCATTTGTTTGTGGGATTTTTAGTATTTTTAAAAGACTCTTACTTAGAAAACAGGCTTTAAAGAATTCAGACACTTTATTTTTTTATTTTATTTTCTGTCATGCACTCCAGCACTTCTAGTTGATGATGCAGTAAATGAAAGCAGGAGAAAACAAATGAGAACCTGATTATTTTGGCTGCACTGTCCAAGCTAAGTGAAGTCAGTGCAATGATGCTATGACTTCTAAACAAAAACTTGACTTTTTCAAGAATCTTATTTAAAATTTTAATGACCAGGTTTTCTATTTTTGCCTTTCCCTTCTTTCTAAAAATGCTGAATGCCTATAACCCCAGCTAAGTCAACCAAAACCCTGATTTGGAAGTTAGGTCATTTTTTTATGAGTAATATATGTCTTTTAATAGCAAAAAGATATGTGACATAGCTTAGGAACTGTTACAACATTGTAAGAAAACTAGAGCTAAAAGTTTAGAGTTGTTTTTTGAAATTTTATTCAGTTTTTTGGGGGCGGGGGGTGGTGGCGGCGAGGGATCCTAGAAATATCTCAGAAATGAAGAGCAATGATCGCAACCCCAAGCACCAATCCAGGCCCTGATAGGTCACGGGTGCATCCACTACACAGGCTGCATACAGCACAGCAGTGAGCTGTATCCAGAGTGATGTGGTGTGGGACAATAGTGCCTCATGTGTGCCAGTGTGCTTCCCTCACACTGTCACCAGACTGTCACCGCTGTGCATCAGTAGCTTTAACTTCTGGACTAAGGGGTTCTGACCATGCTGGCATGGTCTGTTCACCTGCCTGGCACCAGATGCCGTATAAGAACTAATGTCGTCACAGAACTAATATCTAAGCACAAATGTAGGCATACACCAAATGGATTTGCCTTTGTGCTCTTTCTTACAAGAGTGCTCACGAGGTGAGGAAACTCAACAACTCTGCACAGCTATGATCCCTCTGCTGAAACCTCTTATCATGTAGCACTTAGTCATTTGCTTTTAGCACTTAGTCCCTTTCTGTGCTCTTTCCTGTCTTTTTCTGCACCAAAGAAATTGTGTGTGTGTAAATGTCGAAACAGTGATTTATTCAAGTCCTTTTATAATTAGAGTACTAAGATATTTTTCATAGAGTGATAATCATGTTTAAATGGCTGTAAATGCAATAGCTGGTTTGCCCACAAACAGACATTCTGTGCTGCCCTGGGAGCCCAGCTGGGGTTGCCTCTCTGCACCATCTGTTGCTTTCTCGTGAGTCTTGATCCCACAGGATTTATAAAGAGGTGTGCAGTCCTGTGAGGCCAGGACATGGGTTCCATACAGCCATCCTGCCAAACTGCTCTGCCATGCTTCAGTTTCCCTGAAGGTCACTGGTTAGTTTATTTTGGGTCATCCCTCCGGGGAAGGCTGTAGAAAAGTGAGCTCCCTGCAGCAGCACACCTCCAGGTGCTGCAGAGCTGAGAGCTGCACCGTGCTGCGTAGCTTGTTTGGTCTCTGTGCGCTCTTCCCTGACAGCTGTGAAAAACCTGTGGAAGGGAGTGTCTCCTGCCCAGTGTCTGTCACTGCCATTGAGGGCAATGCCGCAGCATTGTCACTGCTAAAGGGGCTTAGGAGGCAGCGTCTTGCCCATAGTGAGTAACTAATAGGATGTGTCTCGGTTGTAGGGACAGGTTTCACTGGCAGGCTTTTTATGTGTAGATGGGGGTTTTGATGAGGAGACCTGAAAGCAAGTCCTTGAAACTAAAGCTGAGTACATAGTTCTGATGGAATCTTTGCTTTCCGTCCATGTGTTCAAGTAGTTCCCTAGAGCTGTTCCTTTGCAACACACAGACCCAGCTGTGTGCCTCAGGAGTAGTGAAGTCCCTTCCACGCACTGAGAAACCCTCAGTCAAATGACAGAGAAACAGGCTGGTCAGTGCTGTTGTGGGCTGTGCAGTATCTGCTCATCGACCCTGACTTTTGAGGAGTGTTACGTGAGAGGCAAAGTTTAGGCTTTTGGAACTGTTCTAACTGGGGCAACAGGAGAAGCAGTTGCGCTTCTGACACAGCTAAGATTTTGTTAGTAACTCTCCTGCCCAGATGTGGTGGATGCTGTGTCCAGGTTCTTGGAAACCGTGGCCTGAGGTCCAAGACTGACGGAAAAGGAGTCATAGTTCTATCTCAAGTCTGAAGGTCTTTGCTAATTGAACCCAACTTCACTGTGTGTTGGGGACTGAAGGGAAGGGTGATCTTCCAAGGGATTTTACAAAGGCCCCAGATCCAAAACCTGTATCCACTGCCTTCTCACTTCTACTGCAAAACCAGCTGGGTGATGCTGCCAGAAAAGAGCTCAGAAGTAGATGCTTGCAACTAGTGCTTTGTGCGCTTATCCCCCAAAGCTGTAACTCCAAGCCCAGCTTGCCTTCTCTCATCCTAAACCCCAAACTTGCATTTATGTTCCATTGCTCCCTCCTCTGAGATCACAGGAGCTGTCTTGAGTGTGGGGTTAGATCTCAACATGTTTCATGTTTGTGCAATTTGAAATGTCTCATATTTCTACTCTTAAAATACTTCCCTAAGCATCTATTCAAGTCCATACATTAAAAATATAAATAAAGCTGCAACAACAAAATCAACTGACCCATTGGGTTTGTTTTACTCTGAATGCAAGCTGCTTTCCGTTCCAGCACTCACTTTGTCTTGGGTGTCTCTTGTGTGTGCAGCTCCTTCCTCTCTTTGGAATTTGTTTTGGTTTTGTTCCAGTTTCTGCCATCATTTTTCTTTTTAGTTTTGGCCCTTTCACGTTGTGTTTTCCTAAAAGCGCAGGCAAGAATTCGCCTGTTGTTTAAAAACATTACTTTCCCACACTGCTGGTTCATCCAGCTCTATAGTCTACAGTGGTCAAATCCAGCAAGCTGTTTTTAGAAGAACTGTTAGTTCAGGTTCTGCTGAAAATGGTAGGAGCCGTCACTTTATAATCAGGCAGAGGAGCTTCAATAGAAGATCCAGACCTTCTATGGAGCACTTTATTGAAAGGGCAAGGGTGCAGATAGGTTTCTTTTTTATCATGATAGGGGAAGGCCCCAGAACAATTGTGCTAGCTTTCCTACTGAACTTAAATCTAGAGCAGGATTTTTTTTTTTTTTTTCCCCTCACATAGGTTGTGATCTGATTTCAAGTAGAATAATTATGGATGAGGTCCTTGTCTCACTCAAACCAGTAGCAGGACTCCCATCTTTGGGGTGCCGGGATTTCAGCCCATATCTTTTCAGGGACTTAGAGCACCTATTTTAGAATTGAGCCTGTGTTTCAGTTTGTAGCAACAGTTCTGTCTCTGAAACTTCCCTGATCCGCATCAGGCCCGTGAGGTTCAAGACCAGCCCTTAAGGATGTCTTAGGGAAGGCCAGTGTCACAAGACTTCTGATGAATTTGTAATCACAGACCTTACATCCATGAACCCTTTTTGCCATTTTCTTAATGCTTTGCTTCTGTCTTGCTCCCCCCCCCCTTTCCCTCCCTCCCCTCCTCTCTTGTTGCACCTGCTGTCTCTCCTTACTGGGGTTGTTTGTTCTGGAAAGCTACAGTCTGTGTGACAGCAATGATCTTCCACTGTGTGAAGCCTACTGGAGACAAGACTTTGCTACGCTGTCCCCCGAAAGCCTCTCCATGCCTCTGACAGCCGCCACAGCAGAGCAGACCATTGCTACCTCCCAGAGCTCAACCCCATCGCACCCTCACGTGAACGGGCACGGGGCAGGCCCCACAGAGCACTCCTGAAGAGGATCCTCTGCTGCTGAACGTGTTCCTCCTGGCAGCATTGCGCTGCTGGAAGTCTTCCACCTGCTGTACTGAGCAAGCGTCTGCCACTGTCAGGAGAAGGCACTGGAGCTGTGTTTGCAGGTTTCTGCTCACTGAGTAGCCATGGTGCTTTCTCCACCCCTGGGACACTGCCATGAGCATTCCTCTCACTTAAGAGAACATGATAAGTAAATACAGTTGATTGTTCTAACAAATTAGAATTAGGTTTGCTTTTACATGACAGTTACATGTAGAGTTAATTAGAAATCCAGTTTGTTTCCATGTGAATCTCAGTAAGTACACGCTGGAGTGTTGGGAGTTGAATTTGTTTCGGATAAACTTGAGCCAAATGTGGGGGCAGTGAGTGTTTTGGGGTTTTTTGCCCTGCTTCGCAAGGTTATCAACATTCTGGCTGCTTTAAAGCTCTCTCAGGATGGCATCTGACAACCTCCATTCTACTTTAAACTAGAGTAAGAATCTTGTAGTATTTTTTACACAGCAGTCTTCGCTGTCAATGTGCTTTACAAACTTGAACTTCTTGCTGGCAGTTGTTTGGGAGGAGGCTCTCAAGAGACCCTTAACGAAGAGCAGTATTCTCCCTTGTGAAGAGGGCAAACTGAGGAATCAGACTGAGGTATTGATGATGCCACTTGCTCAAGGCCACAGATAGAAGCAGCGACATATTTTAGTTAGTCCCATTCCTTCTTCACCGTTTACACAGAAACTTTCTATTAACATAGCCTGAGCTAATGTGAAGCCAGTGTTTGTGATGGATAATAGTTTTGTCTAATAAAAAAAAAATCTCGACATGACTGGGGTGTATGGAGCAGTGAGGGACGTTTGGTTACTCTCACAGTTTCCTTCCAAAGAAACACATTTGGTGCTTTGTAGCCGTTCACCAGCTGAGCACGACTTCTGCCCTTTCCCTTTGCCCTTGTTCTGTGTCGAATCGAGCCGTGGAACTGAAAGGGAGGTGGAGCTGAACTGGAATACGGTCAGGACAGGTCACGACAGCTCCGTGTCGTGGGCAGTGCAGAGCCACGGGTGCATTCCAACAGCTTAGCTGAGCTTCCTCACCGTTCTGCTGTAACATCTCGTTTCTTAGAATGTGAATTTTGGTACAATTTTTGTTTTATTTTTCTTCCATTCCGTTTATTTTTGTAATTCTGTGACTTAATAAAACTAACTCTTTTGTATGATTTTTAAAGCCTGTGTTTTCAGCCACGAGGTTTTTGTGAAAATATGTCAATACTGAGCATGTCTATGCACTAAGACAAGTGTTCTCCCCCAGGTTCTTGAAGAAGCCCCCCCCCCTTGCAGCTGGTGCTGTGCAGGGGGCTGCACCGCTACCCGTGGCCCAGAAACCATCACTACTGACACCCACCAGTGCTCGGGAAACCTCACACCCCACTGCGGACTGAACCGGTACAGGTCTGTCTCCTCTGACCCAGTCGTCACAAACAGGACGTTTGGGACCTCCAGACCGCAGCCTAACTGGGCAGGGGCGAACCCGAGGGCTACCTGCGGGTGGCTCCGGGGACGGTGGTGGCGACCAGAGGAAACGGAGACAGCAGGGC